TTCTTGATCATATCTTTAGTTTAGGTTTTTCCATCCTTGTTCATATTTTCCTTCAAAGATTGCAACTTTTGTTAATTTTTAAGGACTTGGAAGCAATTCAGCCTAGCAAACGAGTCTACCTCATTGATTTGGTTAGTTTTTCTTTCTCCTATGGATTCATCTCTATTATTTGTCTATGTAAATAGGTTGAATGCTTTCTGCCTTCTTTTCTTCATTTCCACACAATAGCCAGACTTACAGTTTGTTTGATTTTATTTCTAGATTAGGTTTTAATTTCACAAGTTTCCAGACTTTGATCAAAAAGCAGATTCTCTTTTAGTTTAGCAATCAAGTAGTTCAATTATCTTTCTTTTAAATCTATAAGTAATTAGTTTAATTGTTATGGATTGCCTACTTAAAATCATTGTCTTCAATTTAACACAATCTGTTGTTTGCAAATCCATTTTTTGTGGCATCTTGTTTTCTTTTATTGATTTTATGTTAGGATAATATACCTTGGGATATTGCATTTAATTTAGGATTTGTAACTTTTGCTACACTTTTGTGGTTTTGAAGTCTTTGGAGGTGTGCAAGGCAATTAGTAACCTATTTTGCAGAACTTCACCCTCTATTTTGCAACATCGTTTGGGGTGCAGTTTAGTTCACAGACATTCTTTTCAACCATCCTTCTAGAGGTCAACCATTGGAAAGGAGGTGTCATATGGAAAACCTGATTTTCTTGTTTTTAGACAAAGCAAGTGGCACGCCTTATACCTAAACTCACGTGGTTAGGGCTGGCTATATATGGATTTTTGAGGAAACAATCCTTTGAATTGATGATTTAATGTAGAAGGATAAACCCTACCAATTACAACATTTTATTTAGCTAAATACTTTCTAGGATTGCAATCCTACTTTTTTTCTACATATATAGGACATATATCTGGACCCAGAGAATTTGCGACCTTGGATGTAATTGGGACAGGCTTATGACAAGATGGCATGTCAGATGGTGGTAGTGACATTTTGGCATCTGGAGATTCGCCATTTTTAACTATGAATACTGCATCCATGCCCCATAGCATGTGTCGATCGAAATGGCAATGCATATGCCACACTCCTATTCAAGAAGAAAAATGAAAAACAAAAGAAAAAAAAAGTCATTGACAATTAAAACAATAATAATTTTGAAATGTCTATCGAAATTACTTTAATTAAAACTCGAACACTAATTGGAAGAAAACAAGTATACAATCATGAACCCTACGCAAATTTATATATATCCAAAGAATTCTATGAAATTCTAAATGACATTGATAGGAATACTATTAATTAACAGATTAGAGAACATTTTATACTCGATGTTTCAATAAATTTCATTTTTTAGATAAAAAAATACATACCAGGATTATTAGCTTTGAATCTAATGGCGAGCCAGCCATTTGCAGGCACGATAATGGTGTTCGAAAGGGGAGGGTCGACCAGATTATACTTCAAGGGATCTATCTCATTATCAAAATCCCCCAAACCCACCCCCACAACATAGAAACTAAACCCATGAAGATGCATCGGATGGTCACTGCCTCCAAGCAAGTTTGTCCCCTGGAAAACAAGTTCCACTGTGGAATTATATTCCAGTATCTTCACTTCGGTCGCTAGTGTCGGTATCTCCAGGTTCATTGGTAAATCATCGGCAGTGAAGTTATAAAATAACGGAGGGAAGTCAGGAAACCAAGTCCCAAATACGCCAGGAATGCAATAATAGTAAGCTTCTAATATATCAATTTCAGGATCGACAAAACTGATATTATTTACACTAGCTAAGATTCTCGTCCCATCTGGCCCTGCACATGAGAATTTTTTATATAAGCCAAACGAAATAATTTTCATTATAGGTAAATCTATTCTTGTGGGCCTCAACTTTGAGGGGGATCACACTTTCATCTTAATCTTTAAAATTGAGTAATTAGGTCCTTAACTTTTAATCGGTTAGAATTTCTTATATAGTATGTGCATTTGGCCCGATTACTTTTACATAAATCTACAAAATCGCCTTATCTATAGATATCAAGTAAATCTTCATCTATAATTCCACTCATTCAAATAGAAAATTATTTATGAAAAATTCAAAATTTTATATAGAGGTTAAGGATTAAAAATACTATTTATTCTGTAATTATTATTTTCCTATTTAATCAATAAAAAAAAAAAAAAGTATACTTCAAAATGAGTACCTGAGCACGAGTTGTTTGGGCATAGAACTGTGTTTATTGACAGGGTGTAAAACAAATATGTATTTATTTCCATTGGCACGTCAATTGGATGCTCCTTATCAGCTAAGCTCTGGAGACTGCCAGTAAAATTAACAGCTGCATGTGTGTCATTGTACTTAGGAAGATAAGGAAACAGCGGCGGTGAAGATGGAGTGTAGTTTCCACTGTATTCTACAATAGCTGTGGTGGTGGTGTCGTCGAAAGCACCTTTTACAGCAACGGTGTATGCTTTGGCAGCCATGTAATAGTGATTGGGACTTCGGTTGGCTTCTAGAAGGACATCAAAGGTTTGGCCAGGAGATATGACAAAGAAGCTTCTCTCTAATGGTTTAAGGTAGCTAGCATCGGATCCGACTAAGGTGACATTGTGGCCGGCAATGGAGAAGAAGAGCATATCTTGCACGGCAGA